CATATCCAGGACCCAAAGCAAACATGTGCTTAAAGAGAGTTAGAAATTCCCAGATGAAGGAGACAAACATCACATAAAAACCGCATCAATTGGCTCACCAACCTTCTATCACAGTGCTCGCAGGGTAGGTGGGAGCGTGCAACAAACACGTTCATTTCCAAGCAGGGCTGAGTAAAACATACTTTAAGATAGCTACTATTTTTATGATTTTTTTTTCTGTTGATTATGATTTGACAAACACTGACTTATCTGACACGTCCACTGCACACCTGTTTTCTGTTTAAAGCTGATTTATTTGAAGAAATACAGCTACTTCCCAGAACTAAGCAGACATACATCTTGCATGCAAGTCACGGAAATCTTTTCTTCTTTGAAGTTTTAGTATTTCATGGAGAAATTAAACAGAGCAGTAGGGCAGGAGAGCTATAACTGGACCAAGATATCTAGGAGACTGCATGTGAGCAGCCCACGGCAGTAGGCACAGATCAAGAACCAAATGGGAGAGTGGGAAAGAAGAGAGTGTTCAAGACACCAAGAGATGCCAAGCTACAATGGGAGTCTGTGCTCACCTGAACACGCTCCCTTTCTGATCCTGAACAGAATTCAGCAATACAAAGTTCCCAGGATCCCACTATTGCCAGCAGTTAACTATGAGAACCACTGACCAAGTACACCCTTCTCTCGCACTACACATCAGCCAACAAGAGGATGACAAACAACTGCTGCCACTCACTGCACTGCTCAAGCCACAGACACCTGTAAAGGCTCAGACCAGATTACCTGGCACCTCATTTTGATTTCTGCTCTCTGTGACAGTTCCCAAAAGACAGCCTACAATTACTATACCCACATTCACCCATAACATGGTAAAGAGCACTGTTCAGACTGCAACAATATGAAAAAGTGCAAAAAAAAAAAAATCAGGACAAAGCTACAGTGAAACTAAGGGAGTGACATAGAACCCACCCACTTATGGTGCCCTGTAGCCTTTTGTTTCACATGAACACACGTCTTGTTCAACACACCACAAAAATAGTGGTCCAACTGCAAGCAGCTGGACACAAATTCTGTTTTCTTCTACTTCACTGGTTCCACCAGACTTTATGTGGAAAATGAAACCTTCACTTTTTCAATAGCGAGATAAGTGAGCTTCATACTTACGATGTACATATAAGCCAGAGGTGGACAGCAACACACGCTTGTCCTGGGGATCCATTTAAGTATCACAGCACCTGTCAGCTTCTCAGCAGCTGGGGTTCAGCGCTGAACCTGCGCAAAGCCTTACAAAGGTGATGGGTAATAGAGACCACTTGGATTTCACAGGCTGACCTATAGATAGTAACCGAACCACAAATACAAAGCCTTGCCTGTCCTTCAGTTCAGTTGAGTTTTGGAAATGTGAGCGGGAAGCAGAGGATGGCTACCACATTCTGCAGTGATCTGTCTTCAGAGAATCAAACATCCACAGAGCAAAACAAAACAAACAAAAATCAGCTCTTGCTGCTGTATCCAAAAATACACCATTGGAAAATCTTCATTATTTGTGATGTCTTATTTAGAAGTAAAATCCAGAATCACACTAAAAAACAGGAGTGCATTTAAACCCAAGAAATGCTCAAAAACCTTTAATCCTCTCACAGCTTTCACTCACACATGGTTCTGCCAAAAAATCTGAGTTGCTTTAAAAAAAAAAATCTGTTATTACAGCCATCTCCACAGAAATAGTATACACATTTATGTTCAAGGTTTTCTGTGAGTGCTACAGTGTTTGCTCGATTTTTACTTCTACAACAAATGAGAGAACACTAATGATAAAGCAACACAAAACAAAATGGAACATCTACTTTGGCATGCCGTGAAAAACTGCAGCAGTCTCCTCACTGTGCCTAGCAAAAGCCCCTGATGTTTTTCTTTGGTAAATAAGAAGCTGGTCCAGGTCATCATTCAAAGGAACATGAAGGGAAAGGTCTGAAGTATTCAGACAAAATTCTGAAGCTTAAGCTTTCAGCATAGTTCTCAAAGCAGCATGATGATATCAGCTCACAAGTAGCTTAAGCAGGAGTCCACCACAGTGGTAGTTGTCTCAGGCTACGTAACAAGCCTTTCAAAGAGCATGAAGTAAGAAAAGAAAAATGTATTTGGCACGATGCCACTACTCAGATGATATCCTAGTCTAACAGATATATACAGTACATAGCAATTCATCATCTCATACTATGTGGCACTGACGATTCTTGTGTTAAACCAAAATTAGCTACAGTAAATGTTTAGGAACAACAAATGGACTTCCAAACTTGCCAGTGGTGCAGGGAAAGCCTCTCAGGCAGGAAGCAAGCTCAGGGCTCAGAGCAGAAACTACATCATTCTTTTCAAGTAGTGCAGAAGCAAGTACGGAACTAGATAGACTTCTTCCCAGGATGCATCACACCATCACATTTCTCAAACATTACAATTTCATGAAGTCCTGGAGTAGCTTAGTCTACAGAGTTTTATGCACTGCTCCCATTAACACAGCATGTATTGGAATCATGGAATGGTTTGGGTTGGAAGAGACCTCAAAGATCACCTAGTTCTAGCCCCCATGCTGCAGGCAGCATTGTCAACCACTACATCAAGCACTAGATCAGGCTACCTAGGTCCTCATCTAATCTGGCCTTCAACACCTCCAGGGACAGAGTATCCACAGCCTCTGTGAGAGCCTGTGCCAGCACCTCACCATCCTCTCTATGAAAAACTTTCCCTTGACATCTAACCTAGATATCTCCTCCTTTAGTTTAAAACCATCTCCCCTTGTCCTATCACTATCTAACCACATAAAAATTTTATTTTCCTCCTATTTACAATTTCCCTTTAAATACTGGAGTGGTCATAATGGGGTTCCTGCTCTTTTCCTCAACCTGAACAACCCTAGATTTCTCAGTCATCTTCACAGGAGAGGTGCTCCAGTCCGTTGAGTATCTTTATGGCTCTCCTCTGGACCGTCTCCAAAAGCTCCACATCTGTCCTAGTAGGGAGTGCCAGGCCTGGACACAGCAGTCCACGTGGGGCCTCATGAGGGCAGAGCAGAGGGGGATAATCACCTCTCTAAAAATGTAGAAGTTGAGTGCAGGAATAGAAGCACCAAACCCACTTTAAATAATTCAGCTATTCAAACAAGCTGTCAGAACATCACCAGTCATCAGAGCTAACACTGATGCAGACACTTATCTTTTCTGGATGGCTGAAACCCACTAGAGCTCCAACAGTATTTACAGAAAACACCTGTATCTCTTTTGGTCACATGAGATAATGGTAAACTACACAACAGAGACACATCATAACATCCCTTTGGTGGCTGAAATCTCCTATCTCTACAAGCCAATTATACCAACAAATTAAAAATTCCACTCCAGCAAACAAAAATTACGCAGACAGAATAACTGTAATGGCCACTCTCTTTGGTCTCTACGGGAATATAAGATGCCAAACTGCCTTCGGATTTTAATTCCTGCACAAGCACAGCTTCAGCCAACTTTACCAAGTGCCCAGATTTCAGCCAGAAATTCGGGTTGGTGTGGGCTCTGGTAAGAGCCTTGTGTCCCTGGTGTGAATTCACTATGCTGGTGAATGATACTGAGCATACCCAAATGCAACTACCAATTTGCAAGGCAGACCTAAGCCCCACGGCCAGAACAGGCACAGCTCACAGAAATGCTGCAACAGCTAATGAAGAAGAAGGAAAAAAAAAAAGTAAAACAAATCAATGAATTAGTAGTATGGAGAGCACAAGCACTCTTAACCTGAGTTTGCATAGTGACTAGCACAACAAAACCCACAAAGAGTACAGACTTCAAAAATTTGAACACTAATATCATGCAGATAGTATTTTTCTGATGGCAGTTCCACCATCACTGAGGAACAGAGGTCTGAACCACCTGCCTGGTCACGTGAAGGTAAGCAAGAGAACAATCCCAAAAAGACTGCAATCCAGCAGCTGGGCTAAAAGTAGGACAGTACTTTTCAGCTAGCACAAAAACACAATCTCATTCACAAGCAACATTATTTTACCATGGGAGCCAATACACACATACTTTCAAGGAATCTTGAGGAATTATTTCATACTGAACAAGTATACCCTGCTTTAAGATAAAAAAAAAAAGAACAAACAAAAGACTCTAAAGAAAAATTATTGATTCCAGAATCTACTCTTAGTTTGTCTTTTCTGTGAACAAAACAACCAGCTTACAGCCTGCCTGGGTTACATCAGCTATCTCCTGCAAGAGATCAAAATCTATTTCCTTTCAGCATCGCCAGCATCTCCACACAAACCCAAGTTTACCTGCTTGGAAAAGCTTAACTGGAACCACACCACACTGGTCCAAAGAAGACTGACACAGAACACCCCCATCAGAATCACAGAACAGCTTCAGTTGAAAAGGACCTAGCCGACCGTTGAGATCCAACCCTCTGCTGCAGGCAGGGCTGCCAACTACTACATCAGTCTGCACAGGGCAAACCCAGGCTCAGCTTCATTTTCCCATTGGTCTCACCTGACAAATGCCAGTGAAGTGCAGTCCACACACCACTCCTGGCTTCCCAGCCTACCAGCTCCATAAGACTTACCCTACAGATCGTGTGATGACACAAATCAGGTCTGGGAACTCACTGCATCAGCAGGCCAAACCAGCTACAGGTCTGCTGCAGCACAAAGGAGAGTGGGGGCAGGGAGATGCAATCACCTCTGTGGGCAGCAATCAGACCAGATTCATCCTTTTACAAGACCACATCCCTGAATAAGCGTAATCATTGTCGCTGCCCAAATCACAACACAAGAGAAAAAACGCACATAGGAGGTCAGCGTGCCACGCAGCGAGTCAGCACACACGTCAGACTGGAAACCAGTCTGCACGCCGCTCTTCACGAGGCTGCTGCAGTCAGAGCTGCGCTGCCAAACTTAACCAAAGCACCTTGCTGCAGGCGCACGGCGTGCGACAACAGCGCCGGGACGGGCCGCTACTCACATCCTGCCCACGCCCTCGTACATGCGGGTCTCGTCCACCAGCGTCATGATCTCGGTGTCGGTGAGGTGCGCGTGCTTTTTGGTCTTGCTCAGCTGCTCGATCTGGATGTCGGCCAGCTTCACCTTCTGCTGCGTGTCGATCACCTTGGCCTGCAGCTCCGTGAAGGCCTGCGGGGGCAGAGCGGCACATCGAGGGGCCGCGGCCGGGCCGGGTGCCGAAGGGCGGGTGGGGCCGGGCCGAGCCAGCCCAGACCGCGGGGAGAGGGTGAAGAGGGGGCCGGGAGGGGGCGGAGAGGGGAGCGGCGGCCCGAGAGACCCGTCGGACAGAACCGGGCGCCCGTTACCTTCTTCAGCTCCAAGTCCACGGGCGCCGCCATCTTCCCCTCGCTCGGCGCCTGCGCGGTGGGAGCGCGGGGAGGGGCGGGAGGAAATGCGGCCGGATCGCAGAAGCGCGGAATGGCTCGGGTTGGAAGGGACCCCGGGGACCATCGAGCTCCAACACCCCGCCACACGCAGGGCCACCAACCTGCACGTTGTAATACCAGCCCAGGACGCCCAGCGCCCCATCCAGCCTGGCCTTGAACACCTCCAGGGATGGAGGGGCATCCACAGCCTCTCTGTGCAGCCGTGCCAGCACCTCGCCGCTCTGTGTGAAGAGCATCCAATCTAAACCTCCCCTCCTGGAGCTTAAAACCATTCCCCCTTGTCCTATCGCTATCCACCCGAGTAGAAAGTTGATTTCCTTCCTGTTTATAATCCCCTTTTAAATACTGGAAGGCCGCAAGGAGGTCTCTTCACAGCCTTCTCTTCTCCAGGCTGAACAAGCCCAGCTCCCCCTACTTCATAGGAGAGGTGCTCAGCCCTCAGAGCATCCCACGAATGGTCCTCCTCTGGAAGGAACGGAACCACTTCTGGGGCTATGGCTACTCCCAAAGGAGAAAGCAAGGACCGCTTTTGGTGTTTCTCCTTGGCTGCCTCCCTCGGAAGCGCAGGCTGAGCCGTGCTCCTGCAGTACCGCAGCTCTTCTGCTCTCACCTGCTGGTGCTGCCAGGGCGGTGGTGCAGACTGCAGCTGTGAGGTGCTCTGTGCAGGCAGTGGCACTTGGTTATATAAACAGGCTGCTGCAACACCCTGTGTTGGTTTGGGTTTGTTTTTTCTTGTTTAGTTTTGAATTAAATCCAAAGCTGAGATTTTGCTTGCCTGTGAGCCTCACTCTGGAGAAGAGCCAGTGCTCATGGGGGAGAAGGTGTGCTGCAGGTCGCAGGGCTCTGTGCTGGGGCATAAAGAGTGCCAGCAGTAGGATGGAGCACCTGAGGGAGGCAGGCTGGGTGACAGGGCTCAGTGCCTTGCTCCAGGCTCCTGCCTGGGTCCAGGGCTGGGGGAACAGGGACAGGCACCCAGAGGCCTTGATGTGACCTCACCACTGAGCCCTTGTATGGGAATACTGTTGTGCAGCCAGGGCAAGGCTCAGCTGCTGAAGTAAGAGGCCTGGGTGATCACAAGGCTCCTGAAGAATTGCCTACAGGCCTCTACTGCATGGCTCACCTTCCCTGCACCGTGTCTGGGGCTCAGCAGGACCCAATGGTAGGGGTAACGTAGAGGGCAGCAGGACTCTGGGCAGAATAGCAATGATGACATGACCCCATGGCTCTCAGAGCTAACACCACAGGGAGCACCTCCTCTACTCCCAGTCTCATCCACATGAGGCAGGTCCAGGTCTGGGACATTGTCCCTCAGATTTCTGCCCCTAGACAGTGACTGCCTTGGCCCCATCACAGACAGGACCGCAGTCATGCATCCCTTGTGCTTCCCTCCTCCCTGTGCAGAGCACTCTGAGCCTGCCCACCCCCAGTCAGCAATTTCTGCTGTTCATCTGGGGTTTGCAAAGGCTTTCACCCACACTCCTGCACCTCCTCCTCACGCCTTCCCATACAGAGCAAAAATCATCACAAAAATTCCAGCCATATACAGAAAAACATTCCAGCTAGGCTATTTTCAATGCTGCCAGCCTGGGTCAAGCAGAGCTGCCCACAAGGAGTAGCAGGACAGTGCTCTGGGCTGCAGCCAGGACGCAAGAGCAGTGCAGGGAGGCTGAAGCATAACAAAAGGGCCTCCTGCTCAATAACTGAAGATGTTAGTTATTTAACAGACGTTGAAAAGGTCCAAAGTTAGGAATCTCATGAAATCAGCATTAAAGTTTGTACAAGGCAGAGCTAGTAACTTAGCCTCCTGCAGCTGCCAGGGGCTTTTGCTCTCCGGGTGATAATGCACACAGATACATCCTGTTAAAAACCCACTTCCCATCTGCCACAACTGTGTACTTTAATCCCCCTGTCCTGGGGAGCTCTGCAGAGCCCAAGTATTACTTAATTCCTCCTGCCCATATTCAGGTTTTGCCTTACCAGCTGCACGAGAGATTTGAACTTGTAAAGGATTTGAACTTGTAAAGTCACTTCCTAAGCAACCCACAGTCCCTTCCCCAGGCAGCAGCTGAGCATAGATATTATTCCATGCATTGCCAGAGCTAAGTTTGGGCTAAACTTGTCCAAAACACAAACCTTTTGCAGACTACTTACCACCCTTGCTTTAGCACATGTTGGAGGGGCATGAACAGAAAGACATAACTTAGCATTCCCTTTTGGAAATTAAAGTTTGATATCTTCAAAAGCAAAATGGCCTGGAGAAAGCAAATTTTCTGCAGTGGAATAGCCATTTTTGCCTGCTTCATGTCTCTCTGCTTCCCCCATACAAGGCCAAGGAAGAGGACACACAATAAATTTGGGAGTCACTTATTCAGCAGAATCAGAAATGGGCTCTGAATCACAATCCGAAATGCTATGAGTGACTACAGCCCTCAGTTCACCCAGCAGCTCCTGCAGAGCAGCTATGACTTCCAACTCAGATCTCCAGCCAAACGCTGGCTAAAAACTACTAACAATTCCTGCCTCACTGAATTTAGATTCGAGTGGCTGAACTCAATGAGGCTTTGCTTCATCTGCAGGTACCCAAGAATCATACCCATTCATGAGCCAGCCAAGATTCAAGAACACACGAGAGGCTGACACAGCTGCAGGCTCCAAGGGGCAGGGCAGACCACACTCCTCATAACCCACCCCCTCTGGGGGGTAACCTAGCAGGAGCTGCCTTGCTGCACGCCAAGGCCAGCAGGCTTGAGATCTGTGCCACTGTTCCACAAGTGCTCCTGGGTGGTTTTAATTCCCCACCAGAATAGGCAAGTTGTTACCTGCAGCCTTTGGAGACCTGACTCCTTCCCACATCTCTTAAATCAAGAACTCAAGTGTTTGTTACAAAGTTATTTATTAGAATATTACATTGCACTTAAAAAATAAAGGAGGTCTGACCCACACGAGGGTCATCTTGACTTACACAAAGGGTGCAGAGACAGACCTCCAATAAATATAAATAGTATGTACAATTTATCTAAAATAAATATATAATTTAAAAGGAACATTCTCTTGTTAAATAGTTGTTACCCTCCCACCCCTCCTGCACCTACGGAAGCCTCGAGCCTGCTCTCCAAGCCTTTCACAGTTTGTTCCCCTGCATGCACTGCAGCGGGCAGCCCCAAGCCGCTGGAGAGCCCCACGCGGCCGGCTCGGCTCAGAGCCTGCCCGGGAGCATTGCTCCCAGCCTCCTCCACCTGGAGGTGGCCGAAGCTCCCTGCAGTGGCACCGCTGCCTGGCAAGCCCCAAAGCGGCTCCGTCCTGCTGTGCTGCAGGGTCCCAGGGACGGCACTGGCTCTGCGGCTCGCATCTTCCAGGAGGTAGAACTGCATTAGTGCTGAGCCCTGAAACACAGCATCAAGGAAATGGTCATTGCCTAGCTATGCACTTAGTGCATCATCTAACACGTAGGATTTGGAGCAGAGCTGAGGCAGGCTGGTGGCACCCCAGCACCCGGTGTCCACTGCCACATGGGAAGAGCACACCCAGCCAGTGGCAGAGAAACACATGGGGCACTCCCATGCCCAGCTGCAAGGCATTACATTGGAACAAGTAATAAGCAAAGAACTAGTGGGAGGGAAAAGGAAGCTTTTTATATATGTATATAAATAGAGACAATATCTAAGGAGGGGAAATGACTCAATGGATCAGACAGAGGGTACAGAACAAATTGTGGGGGGGGCAGCAGGGAAGGCAGCGAAAGCAGTTTCACTACTGCTAAACGTCCCCAAACCATGCAGCAACAGGCCCAAGGAGGAATGTAAAGAAGGCGGCAATAGAATCATAGAACCCTTAGAATTGGAAGGAACCTCTGAAGGCCATCTAATGCACAGGGACATCCACAGCTCCATCAGTTTGCCCAGGGTCTGATCCAGCCTTGCCTTGAAAGTCTCCAGGGATGGGGCATCAACTACATCACTGGGCACCACCATCACTGTAAAAGACTTTTTCCTTATATCTAACCTAATCTCCCCTGTCTGAGCTTGAAGTCCTTTCCTTGTTCTACCACCACAGACACTGCTAAAGAGACTGTCCCCTATTTTACTGTAGCTCCCTTTTAGATAATGAAAGGCCAAGAATATCAAAGGAAAGGGGTTTGAACGAGAAGCAAAAATGGCTGGGCCCAAGCAGGACAGCCTAGGCTCTCAGGCCACCAAACACACAGTGGTCCCAGCCAGCAAAACAAGCAGAACTCCCAGCATGCAGCAGTACCCCAGCCCCAGCGCAGCCCCATGCCCAGCAAGGGCTCACCTTGCCAGCACCTGGCATCTTCAGTGATTCACAGTGATGCCCAGCTTTATTTTTTCTTCATTTTCTACATCGTAGACACCCCTCTTATGACACCTGTGAGGCCAAGCAGAGATGCTCAGAGAATGGAGCAGCCACCCCCACTGCTCCTACATGCAGCCTTCCTGGGGATGTGGCTCCAGCAGCATAGCCCCATTTCACCCACCTGAACATCAACAAGGCTGTGATGATGACGAGGCACAGCGAGGACAGGACCACCGCAACAACAGCAAGCGCTGTGGTATGGTCATACGTGCTCGGGGGATGCTCTACAGGCAGCAAGAGGCCATGGCATCTCTCTCCATGATATCCTGGCTGGCATCTGGAAGAAAAGAACAGATTTTAAGAATGGCGGTGGCCAAGCAGTGGGATGTTGGGTCCCTTACACCTAAGCACAGAGAAAGCTGCCTCTGTTCATTCCTCGCTAGCACCCTGCCAATTCCCCACAGACTCTACCCTGAACTTTCAGATCTGGTGGCACCACTGCCTCCTGATACTGGAAAGTTCTGCTTCTTCCATATCCCAAGTATCACATGAAGACTCCTGCAAGGCCAGTTTAAGTCTCAGAGAGACAGACAGTAGGGACACAGGAGAACCCAGAAGGCTGTCATAAGCAGGTTCCTGGAGCACACAGCAGTGGGCTGTGTGAGTCAGGCTGCAGCCTGTGGGAGAGGAAAGCCTGGG